GGTGTCAAGTTCCTGTCACTATCGGTGAATTTCAGATGGATACCGCTGCGCGCCAGGTGGAACCGGCTCTGGGAAGCTTAGACGCGTGATGCTGAGAGGCGACTTCACGCCACGGCCGTGCAGCGAGACGGAAAGACGCACCGGCGGCTGGAACGAGGTTGGTGAATGTTGGGGGGGGGGGGGGGGGGGGGGCCTCCAGAAACGGGAGGAATTCCGGGCTGCGAATCAGCCCAAGAGCGGACGCAGCAGAAATCCAAGGTTCCAGCCCGTGGCGCTAGCGGGTTGAAGGAGACGGATAGGTGTTGAGCGTAGTGGATTCGTTGGTCTTGGAGGCTCGCAGGCTCAGGTCCCTGCTTACCGCGGCCAGACACTCGGAGGACCCTGCGGTGAGGATCTGTCTGCAGTAGGTGCTGCTCTGCAGGCCGTAGGTACACCGACATCTAATGTACCGAAAGCTTTGGACTTGGTGTATCCCGCATGTGCAAAGCCGTTCGTCGAGTGATCCCCACCCCGGGTGGTAGGCATGGTAGCATCTGGAATGTCGAGAGCAGTGAAAGCTTGACTTGGTCTTCTTTCTCATTCTTGCCTTCTATCTTTCAGCACCGGCATGGCATCAGTTGACTGCCCAGATGGCGGGATGAAGGCTGCTGATGGTGCCACAGAGAGACGATAGTGACTTTGGTTGGGCAAGTGCACGAATTGGACCTGCTGCTCATGTCATGTTCTCGGTCGGCGTTGGCGTTGTGGTGTCAGTCAGCAGAGACCTGACTGGTTCTGCTTGGTGGGGTCAGGATCACCCTGGTTCCACTTATTCATGCCACTGCCGGTCGTGATTGGCGCATGAGAGAAGTCTCTGGACAGCGCTCCGGGCGGGCCCCTCGCTCCCCCCCTCCACAGCGACGTCCATCCCCCACCTGCCCGCTCTTTCGCCCGGCCACGGGCCCCACAGCAGGGGCATACAGCAGCGATGTGGTGGGTGTTTGTTCCCGCTTGGCCACTGGACGCCGCTGAATCTGTGGTTGTGTCGAACTCCCAAATGTCTTGCCTGTGGTGTGCTTCTTGATGCAGCCTACTGCTTGGTAGCCAGTCTGCAACAGGTCGTTTTGCATGTTGATCAAGGGTTTCTGCTGCCATGTTCTTTCATTCGATCTGTACCCCTGGCCAGCCTTCAAAGTCTGTACTGCCAAGAGGGCCAAACAGGCAGGTAGAGACCGGTCATCTTGGGCTCTTCGCGGCGGGATTTATGGTCCATGGCTTGCCCAAGACCAGCCGAGAAACCGAGGGCCTTTCCGTCTGGCCAGTGGCCACCCACCAGATCCAATGATCCGTCAACTAGAAGACGCACCAAGGGCATTTGGCAGCTGTGACTGGTGGGTGTAAGGCGAGCCGGGATCCATCGATGCCCATCGATAAGGAGGGACCCTGTTTCGCAGACTGGAAGGGGGTGGGAAGGCCGTTTTGTGCATCCGTTCTGAGCGCGTTTTAAGCTTCACCTTCCCTTACCCTGCGGCGTGGTGTATGGTGGGTAGTGTATGTACGCAGTATGTACGTATGCTATGCTAGGTAGGCGAGGCAGCAAGTCGGCCGTCTTGGGAGTGGTTTGCGTTGTTTCCACTCTGCTGTTTCTTTTCTTCGTGTTCTTTTTCTCTTCGACCCTCCCCTTTGTGTGTTTCCCGTCTTTTCCCATTCTCCGAAGATCTTTCTTCCTATCTCAACTTTCCACCTTACACACCACAACATCCCCAGCCCGGTGCTCGTGTGACCTCTTTGCAAGAACCAGAGGCCATGATATCTTGAGCTTCGGTGTGCCATGTGCTCCGCCCCATCCCGTAGGTACCCTTCCTCCAGCCTTCTGCTGCATAGTAAAAGCTCCACACCCCGCTATCTGCTGACCTCCATTATCGATAGCCGGCTCTCACCCGTCCTGATAGCAGATCCCCATCCAAGTCCCCTGGCCTCACCCACCCCTCCTCCAGCGCCTCAAGACCACAGCCTTTTCCGGTTCTTCGCGCTCGCATGTCTCATTTTCTTTTCTAGAGACCGATCCGTCTGTTGAGCTGCTTCATCCAGTTTCTCAGATCTGCTCCGACACACCGACTATGAAATAAGACCGTCCACCGGCTGTTCCGAGCGCTCTGCCCTCAAGGGTCGAAGTGGACCTCCGAGCTCCAATTCCCAGTACACTTCCTGCTACTCAACTGCCCCGCGCGCCACACAACCGCCGTGGAAGCACGGAGGATACGAGACGACGCATTGTGATTGCCGACTCGAGAAACGTTTTGAAAATTAGGCTTTGTTGCTGCAGTTAGACACCGCGGTCTTGGGTCTTTTTCTCTTGACCCAACTTTTTTCTTTTCCATGTATTCCCGTCCGACAACTCTATTGCGCCTCTCAACCATGGCCGATACCTTGGGGTCAACTCCAATGGAGGTTGTCGACGAGCAGGGCCCCGGCCTCTCAGAGCCAACGAACAAGGGCAGGAACCGGCACCGAGTGCTCTGTGGCATTCACAGAATGTCTTCCTCGCCATCACTTCCTCGAAATGGCCGTGCCAGATCAGAGAGTAACCCTCAGCGAGGGCGAGCGAGCATCTCCTGCGTTAGCTTGGCAGGACCATCAACAGCCGGAAGCTCTTTTGGGGGCGACTCCTACTTCCCCGCAGGAGCAACAGCATCCGGCTATGCCAGCGCCTCGAGTTCTGTTCCGCCGACGCCATCCAGCGAAATCATCCAATTCGAAGGTATCGACGGCCGCCTTGCTGTTCGGAGGGTCGACAATGCCATTTCTACAGCGCAGTCTCCCGGTCCCCAGTCGATCGGCCTTCCCAGCGACCTGCGGACGACGAGCAAGATGCAAGTCGCGAATCCGGCGGTTCCCAAACGGGACTTTAACTTTTGGGAGAACATGCCCCACGAAATGCGCGTTCAAATATTTTCCTACCTCTCGCCAAAGGAGTTGGTGAGGACCTCTCGTGTAAGCAAGATGTTCTACAAGATCTGCTTCGACGGGCAGCTTTGGACTTGCTTCGACGCAACCGAGTTTTATCAGACGATACCGGCCGAGTCTCTGGCAAGAATTATTGTCGCCGCGGGACCTTTTATTAAAGACCTCAACTTGAGAGGCTGCGTACAGGTTGAGCACTACAAGCGTGCCGAAGTGGTTGTCAAGGCTTGTAAGAACCTCGTCAATGCCACTCTCGAGGGATGCCGGAATTTCCAACGAAACACCCTTCACAGCTTGTTGAGGACAAATGACAAGCTTGCCAACCTTAACCTCACGGGGCTGACTGCAGTCACCAACATGTCCTGCAAAATCATCGCCGAGTCATGCCCGCAACTCGAGATGTTTAACGTATCATGGTGCGTGCACATGGATGCCCGGGGAATCAAGACCGTATTGGACGGTTGCCCAAAGTTGAAGGACCTGAGGGCTGGGGAAGTTCGAGGCTTCGACAACTTGGAGGTGGCTGAAACACTCTACAATACCAACAGCCTGGAGCGGCTGGTGTTGAATGGCTGCGCAGAGCTCAATGACCGGGCACTCAAGATCATGATCCACGGAGAAGATCCCGAAATCGATATTCTTACAGATCGACCAGTCGTACCCCCGAGGAAATGGCGTCACCTGGACCTCAGTAGATGCGGTCGTCTCACAAACCAGGGAGTGAAGGCATTGGGTTACAACATTCCGGATTTACAAGCCCTGCGACTATCCGGTTGCACCGCCTTGACTGACGCAGCACTCGAGCCCATCTTCGCATCGACCCCACGCCTCACCCACCTCGAGATGGAAGATCTTTCAGATCTCACCAACAGCCTTCTTTCGGAGCATTTGGCCAAGGCTCCGTGTGCACCGTGGCTGGAGCATCTCTCGATCAGCTATTGCGAGAACCTCGGCGACAGCGGCGTACTGCCCATCGTAAAGAACTGCACCAACCTGAGGAGCATTGACCTGGACAACACCCGGATCAGTGATCTCGTTCTCGCTGAAGCGGCTTACATGGTCAACAATCGCTCCCAATGCACCGCGAAGAAGCCCAAGCCCAAGGTCGGCCTTCACATGGTGGTTTACGACTGCCAAAACGTCACCTGGACTGGCATTCGCGAGGTTCTCTTCCGCAACGCTCAGTCAAAGCCCTCCACATCAGAACCCGGCAAACATGCTTACTCCGGCGAGGCAATCAGCCTCAAATGCTTCTACAAGTTCCAGATGACCGTTGACGAGCACATGAAGCGCGTGGTCCGGGGAGACCTCGCCGCGGCCAACCGCCTCGAGCGCCGCTGGGGCGAATATATGCAGGCTACCGAGGAGGCTGGCACCACTGGCGCCGGACATCGCCGTCGCAGACGCCGTGCCCGGGAAGCCCAGATGCTCCATGCCGACGAGGAAGATGGCGGCAACGGTGGCCGTCGCCGGGGCCGGACCGTCGGATCCTGCACAGTTATGTGAGGATACCGCTGCAGACAGTTTTGCGCCTAGAATGTGAAGGAGAATCTTGCGGTCCAAATGGTCCCCCTGTTTCACACATTTCATCTGTTATCGGTATATATTCATCCCCTGGAGTCAAAGCGACACGTTACTTCATTATTAGATTGGGATGCATCGCCCCATTCAACTCACCTCGCACCAGCGTGCGAGAGTGTCTCGAAGACGGCGTCTCACACTGGAAAGGCGTCCTTCTTTTCCCATATTTCCGTGCTGTTAGTCATGAACGCACACATTTTCTCTTTATGGTGTTTGGGATGGGTTGGGAAATCTTGGGCTTGGGAGGTTAAAGAGTGCAGGATCTCTTTTTTTGGTTCCTATTTTTTTTTCTTGGAACAGATACAGACTGCGGGGCATGCATGCGCGTGCCATTTGTATCTATGATTGGAATCTGGGGCTATTTCAATTTGAACATATAAAATGTCCACACTAAACCATGACCCAATGCTGTTGATGTTTGAACCGTCTCGCCGCTGCTGGAATGCTGCGGAAGAAACAAGACAACGAGGCTATATTTAGTCCGAGCCGTGCTGGCGGATGTACCTCCGGATCTTCTCCTGGAAGACATCGTCCTCGTCGCGCCTGTTGTCACCCTCCATGACGTACATGTCCTCGTCTTCGTCCTCCTCTTGCTCGCGCAGGTCAAACTCCTCGTCGTCCGACGCATTGGCATTGCGGAAGAGATAGGCGTGTCGATCGTACTCATCCTCCGAGTCGACCTCGTCCTCGGGGTAGTCTGCAGTATAGTGGTTTTCCGCTGTTATACAAAGTCAGCACAAAGTCCCTCTCCTGGTGTCCAAGTATATCATCCTTACCATTCTCATCCTCATCATCGTCGTAGTCCGAGTCGTCCTCCTCTTCATTCCCGTAAAACAGCTCCATATCTTCCTTGGTATCGAACCGCAGTACGCCAATCTCCTCGGGCGGGATGTTCGCCAACAAGGGCTTGGACGGCGCGAGCTCATACACTTCAATGACGTAGTCATCATCGTCGTCGTCGGCCTCGCTGGCGTCCGTCATGGACTCGTCCCGGTCTTTCCCGCCGTCGAGCTCCTTTGCCAGCTCGGGGTGCCGTTCGGCGAAGCGCTTGACGGGGGCCTTGGGCTTGAACCGCGATGGCGAGGAGGTTGTAGCAGAAGAAGCAGGAGGCGCTGGGTTTTCCAGCTCCATTGACTTGAGGTTCAGCCCGATCTCGTGGAGCACCCACTGGTCCATGTCGGCGGCGATCTTACTCATGTCCTGGGTGGGCGCGACGCTGGGCAGGGGTTTGCGCTGGGATTCGACATCTTGACGAGGAGCAGAAGGGCGTTTGGTCTGGGGTTTCTTGGGCGCCGGCTTGGCGTCGTCGCCCATTTCGACCTCCGGAGTAGAGATAGCGGCGGCGTGTTTGGCGTCGAGGGCCACGGAGAGCCTTTTTGATGCCTTCTTCTTGCCTCGCTCGACGAAGACTGCTGTTCCGTAGCGGCCGCGCTTGGTGACGCCGCCGGCCTTGAGGATCGTGCTGCCCGTCGGGGAGCTCATTGCCGAACGGGACATGTGGAATCGTCTGGGCTCGGCCGCGGGGTTCGCTGGTCGCTGAGCAGCAGAGGGGGTGGCCGGGCCCGGGGCCGTTGCCTCGGCGGCGGGGGGTTTGTCGGTCGCGGCAGCATTATCGGGCGCGGGCTGAACGGGCTTTGCGGGAGAGTGGCTCGAATGCGGGAGCTCGTCGCCGGGCTTGGAGGTTTGGATCACGGGCTTGGTCGGGGAGTGGTGTAGCGAGCCTGCGCCGGACCTTGAACTGGACTTTGCTGGTGCTATGCGTCGTCGGTAGACCCAGCTGCTGCCACTCTGGTGTCGTTTCGCTGACTCAAGCTCTGTCGCTTGTCAGTCTGCGCTTCAACGCATCAAACAAAGGAGGCAACATACGGAGGTAGGTAACCGGCGCATCCTCGTCGCCCCGCTTCCGCTTGATGTGGATCAAGTGAGGAGGGGCAGACATGTTGACGAGAAGACTACGGGCAGTGGTAGAGATGTGGTTACGGGCTACTATGTGGTAGATGTTTGAACGAAGGGATTAGAATGTTCGTGGCAGCTCGAAACTGGATGTCCCCGGTTCGGTGTCTGGCTATGCCACGTCGTAATTCATGCGACGATGTTGCTCTTCTTTTTTTTCTCGCGAGATGGATTTTTCTGGAAGCCTGCCGCACCAGCTGGATGGCAGCACGTCAAAGATCCATTTCAGATAAGACGAGCTTATCGGTGGGGTATGTCATTGGCCAGGGGATTGACCGCCTTTGGCAGAATCGTGCAAGCGTCCGGGGGTGATCCCAGCCCCTCCGGGCTGTTGGCTGCCATTGCCGGCTTGGGGAAAGAAGCCCCGCCTTGCGCCGATCAAGCTAGGAGCTTCGCTTCAAGACTGCTTGAGCACTCGGTCAGACAGATTGTCAATGCCACTGGACTATAGGAACCAGTCCAGCGCATTAAATGGGGCAGAAGAGCCGAACGGGCTGTGGGCAGCTCAAACTCTTTGGACGCGGGATGGCTGGCAACCAGGACAAGGGTCGTCCGGCCGAGACCTAGAGAGCTTGTGAAGATTGCTATGATGGTGAGCTCGATTGCGTCTGAAACCACCCGGTTCCTTCCGTATCATTGAGAGTTCTTTGCCTAGGGATATGGGGCTTGTTGAAAACTGCAATTTGCTGGCAAAGTTGAGGCGTTGCTTGATTTTCAGCCTTCGTGATGGCTGCCATGCGATTTGGCAGAGCTGCAGTAGCTGAGCACCGGTGGCTCGTAGCTAGAAAACGCAGCAGCGAACCCGGCTAAGCAGACGAACAGCTTGTTTTTGCTCTCTTCTGTTAGGCGGTTATTTAGATGGGATTTTCATGCCGACATTGCCCATTCCACAGGATGCTCTGGCATGATGGAGGTGGCTGATAGCTTCCCCGGGGGGCGCTTCTGGAGGTCTCGGTGTCTGGGGCGTTTGTCCCGGTCTGGGCCTTTCCATTGGGACCCGCGAGTCGGTGGGGCAAAGCCTGGCTCGTGCATTGCGGGAAAGTCCCCAGTACCTTGGAAACATGAACAGCCACGGCCAATGGGCATGTTCCCGCAACTCCCCAGCTCGGGACATGTCCAGGGATGGTGACGCAAAAAGCATGCCGACGGAGGCAGTGAACGGGTAGGATTTGCCTGTTCCATTGCTGATAGCCGCTACTGGCTGCTGTTTAGTAGCTCCATTATTGGAGGGGGAAGCTTCTGATCCTTTTTTGTGCAGATGCAGTTGCAGTTGCAGCTGTCCGGGTGGCCGGCGTCAACAGAATTGGAGCGGCGAAGGGAGGTCGTTGACAATCTCGTCCCATACCTCAGCGTCATTCTTTGCCTGTCCCAGGTTTCGCGGCAGTCATGGGCCATCAAGCTCATGTGGGGAGGCAGTTTGATGGCCGCCACAACAAGCAATACGTCCAGTTTCTCTTTATGTACGCCTGAGTATTGTTTCTCAATCTGCAACTCACTGGACCATCCCATCTCGCCTCGTTACTACCCTTAGCTGAGCCAGACTGCCAGGTTGGAGCGAGTGCTGGTTTCTGCCAGCCACACCTTCCCAACCTCTCTTCCCGTATTCCCCCTCTTGCCTTACTCAAGCCTTCCCCTTCCCCAACACACGTTGGACATAGCACCCATGGCATAATCATGCAATGGACCCCTCCTGTGCCACAGCTTCCCTGTTCTGAGCTGCTGCACCTCCCAACGTCAGACACCAGTCTTCCGGCTTCTGATCTCCCCTCCCTGCTATCTGAGCTCCCCTCGCCTTGGCTGATCAAGGTGGCATTTGCTCTTCCGGTCCGTACGTCGTATCTCTCCTGTCCCACGGGTAAGTTCATCATTCTGCCCTCGTCTTCTGCCCCTAGGTCAGCTCGTTCCCTCAAAGCTGTTTCACTCGCACAAACACGTAACCCCCGATCCCTCTTCGTTGCGTGAAACACTCAGACACGAAGACTCCACTTTGAATTCCTCACAAAGAATTGGCCTTGTTTTCGCTTCCTTGCCTTTTTGCTTTTTCCCACGAAGGCAATCCAACGCCTTCTCGCTCCTCACGGCTAGCATCGTAAGGTATCACCCAGAGACAGCCGCATTCGTCAGCGTTTCTACCCACGCCCAACCCAATCCACAATCCGCCACCTTCACCGTGGGCTCCAGGGGGACGGTCTCCATCTCTGCATCTCTTGACGAGTTTTTCCCTCTCCCGAAGCAAGAGAAGTGCCCTTATCTGAACTGACTCTGGAGTGTTGTAGAAGGCAGCAGCCCCCAAACCCAAAATACCCGCCTGCCCGGAAACTGCTCGAATGATCGAGTTGGCGGAGTGATATCGGCCTTCTTCCACACTTCGAACTTTCGCATACCTTGCCGCGGAAACCAGCATCAAAAAATGGTTTCCGTCACCATCTCCTACCGCCAGCCGGGCACCCAGCCGCCCATATTTGTTGCGGGCTCCTTCTCCGATCCGCAATGGCAGCCTCTTGAGATGCAGTTCACCACCGACGAGGGAGGAGAGCATACATTCTTCAAATCCGTCGAGGTACCGCCAAGTTCGCAGATCCAGTACAAATTTCGTGTTGGCCTTGGTGACTGGTGGGTTCTCAACCAAAGCGCTACTACAGGTAAGGTCTCTCTAGCTCCGATCCCAACCGCATCTTGCCTGACATGACGTGACCCTGCAGTGACCGACGACTCTGGCAACCAGAACAACGTCCTGACGGCCCCGGCTTCTCAAGAGTTCACAGAGATGAACGGTGTAAAATCCAACGGCGAGCAACAGAACCACCAGACGGACTCAAATCCTACCAACATGGATGCCTCAACTATTTCCGCTGCCCACGCGACTGCTCAGCTTGAGCCGAAGCCTAAGATGATCGACCACCTGAAGGACGAGGAACGGCAGCGACTGTCGTCGACCCCGATTGAAAAGGTTGCAGAGACCGCTGCAGAGGTTGCCGACACTGCTGAGAAGCTTGATGCCGAAGACAACACGGCCCGCCTCACACCACTTGCCCGTATCAAGGACGAGGAGAGAAAGCGTCTTTCTTCGACTCCGATTGAGCAGGTGGCTACTACTGCAGCGGAGGTTGCTGACACGGCAGAGATGCTGGACGCCGATCAGGTATGCACTTCTGGCAAGACGGCAGGCGACATAAGACCTCAGGGCTAACGCAGCGCAGGACTTTGACGACAAGGATCTGGCCGACGACGGTCCTCCGCCTCTGTTCGCCCATGAAGCCCTCGGCCCGTACGAGCCACCGAGTGATAGTGAGGATGCTACGAAGGAGTATGAGCACCACGGCACCGTTGAGTATGACGTCGACAAGTACGACTTGAACGACCCAGCTCTGGAGAGACTGCCGTCAAAACGCGAGGAGATTCTGAACACCGTTCGAAACGTGGAGACGGGCCGCAACGAAGACCAGACGTACTTTCACGGCACTCCCATGTCACCCATCGTCGGATCAAGAAAAGCAAGCCTCGACCCATACGAGGAGGCGGTGATCTCGCCAGGCCCCTCTAGTCCAGGTGTAGGCAAGAAGCTCGAGCTGCCTCGGAAGAAGCAGGGCTCAATGGTGTCGGAAAGATCTCTCGCTTCGTTAGGCTCGATCGTCGAGGAGGAGGGCAAGGACTCACCTGGGTTGGATGAGGCGAATCGCGAGACCGAAGGTCCCGTCCGCGTCCCTAGCCCCGCAGTCCGCCCAACACCCAACGTCTTCACCTCTCCCGCTAGTGACGAGGACGAAGGAGTCGTTATGAAGGGCTCCAAGTCTAAGTCAAAGAAGAGCGGCGAGTCTGGCAGATCAGAGTCTCCCGACTACAACGGTAACACCAACGGCAAGCATTCGAGAGACCTCTCCCCGAAGACGCAGCCCGCACAGCCGGACAGCCCGAGCATCCATGTGCAGCCCCCCGAGGACCCAGCCGAGTCCAGCAACGCCGCTGCATCCAACTCAGATGGAAAAGCCTCGACGACTGCCCGAGACGAAAGCCACAAGGGGCAGCTTAAGAAGCGCGGAGGAGCCTCGTCGACCGATCGCCCGGGAACCCCCTCGTCCATACACAGCGTCGCCGACAGCAAGGGCAACTGGCTCTCGGCCTTTTTCCGCGTACTTTTTGTTGACTGGATCGGCGGTCTATTTAGCCGGTTGTTCGGCAGCAAGAGAAAGGCGTAAGGTTTTCTCACCTCCTTCCCGGTTCTTGAAAGATGAAGAGAAGAAGACTGGCTGCCGATGATCAGGCTTTTGCTTGTTTTTCCTTTTGTTTTTACGTTTTAATACTCCTCACGAAATCTGACAGGTTGACTTTTGTCCGCAGGATGCTGGCCACGAGCACGGCTGCCATCGTTGCCGGGGTTGCATGGTGGAAGTTCGCCTTGGACGGCGACCTGAGCTGGCTTGAGACGCGGCTCGCCGCCCTTTAGAGTCAGGGAGTGGAGATCGACGTCTCGCTTACACGAACATGTTTGTACAGTTAATCGAGATGGCATTGGCATTTGAGGGTGGGATTAGAGTGGGATGGAATATGCCCCTCCTGAATCTGGGGTGGGATATGGACAGCATGCACAGAGAAAACACGCATTTGGACCGCAATCGAGAACCCAGACTTTGAAATCAATGCTTCGCATGTATGCTCGCTGTTAAAAGGGGTCATGACAATCTGTGTGACTGCGAAGAGGAGCGGTGCCGGCTCAAATCACTCTCCAAACGGCACCAGCCCTCGGGGTATCTCTCTTGCCGCCGTCATCCCCTTGCCTGTTCATCTTCTTGATCCACTCCGTCTCCCTCTGCACAGCAGCGGCCTCAATCTCCTCCATGACGGCCAGCTCGCCGAGCATATCCTTGATCAAGCTCTCGCAGCCGTCCAGCATCCTTTTCAGACTGGACGTCTGGGCCATGTCCTCCGCTTCTTCTTCCTCGTCGTCGTACGCCAGCTCCTTCAGCTGCAGATCCCAGCCCTCGAGGCGGCGGACGAGGAGGGCGCATTCCTCCTTCCAGCGGGCGTCGAGGCCGCCGCCGAAGCGGACCTCGAGGTTCGCGTCGAGCAGGGCGGCGGGGTCCGAGTCGGGGCCGTCTGCCCTCGCGCGCGCGGCTTCGAGGTCGGAGAGGGAGGAGGCCCAGCGCTCGAAGGCGCGGACGAGGCGGTTGTGTTTGCCGCCGGGGGAGTCGAGGGACCAGAGGGACGTGAGGAGGGCGTCGAGGCGTTGGATCTTTTCCTCGAGGAGGCCTTTTCTGGGGGTGGCCCAGCGGTGGAGGGCGGCTACGTTGAGGCGTTCTGCGGCGTCGGCTTCGAGGGACACGAGGTCCTTTGAGGAGGAGGCGAGGGCGGCGTGGAGGGAGGCGAGGTGGGACCGGGCGGAGGCGTGCCATTGGGAGGTGGTTGTCGGGAGGTCGCGGTGGAGGAGGTGGAGTTGGAGGAGCTCGGTTTGGAGGCGGGATGTTTCGGCGGAGAGGGCGACGTTTGTGGGGAGTTTGGAGGGGGAGGGGGGCGCGAGGTAGGTTGCTGTGAGGGGCTTCGGGGCTAGGTTCTTTGCGGGGGAGTAGTGCTGTTGAAGGGTTGTGAAGGCCGGTTTGAGGAGGGGTTTGTTTCGAGGAGGGGATCGTGGGGAGCGCGGGGAGGCGGGTTGGGAGGTTTGTTGCTGTTGACGGACGGGAGGTTTGGGGTGCCGGGGGGAGGTTGGAGTGGTTTGTTGGCGGGTCGGTGGTTTGGAGGGGGGTTTGGTCGAGGCTGTGGAGCCGGCGCGGGTTCGGGTCGAGATGCTCGCGACGGAGGGCTTGTGGGTGAGGTTCGTGGTCGAGGTCGTGGCGGTTGAGGTCGTTGACGTCGAGGAGCCTGAGCCTGGGCGCGGTGGTCTGGCGGGGTCTTGGGCTGCTGCGGAGCCGGGGCGTCTGGCGGCTGCTGTGGAGGAGGCGAGAGAGGTTGTGGAGGTTGACGGGGCGCCGTAGAGGGACGTCGGACGGGGTTTCGGGGCCGTGGACCTGGACGTCGTGGAGGACTGGTTTGGAGGAGGGAGGGTCGTGCTTCCGTTGAGAGTCGCCACGCTCCGCGCCCGGGTATGGCCTAAGCCTGGGCCCGTGGAGGACGTCGGTGTGGTCCGCTTCTGGGCGAGGCCGCTCGATGTTGTTGGTCGCGTGCTGCCGCTGCTGCTGCCGCTTGTTCCCGGGAGATTACTCGTTGAAGACGCGGCGGGGTTGCGGAGCCTGTTCAGGCCTGCGGTCGGCTCGCGGGTTGACGAGGTCCGGGTGGGAGCGTTCGCTGTACGCGATGACGGTGCGGTGGTGGAGGAGGTGGACGAGGCATCTTTGCGGGCGGCGGTCTGGCGTGTGGAGGAACCGCGGGAGAGCAGCGAGGACAGCGCCGAGGGCTTCTTCTTAGGTGCAGCGGCGGCTGCGGTGTCGTTCAGGCTCCCGGAGGAGACGTTGCGGGTGGTCGGGCGCGTCGGGCGCGGGGCGGGGAGGCGGCTCGGAGAGACGTTGCGCTGCGGAGCGGTGGAGGAGGAGGAGAGGTCTGTTGGTTTGCGGAGGGAACGGCTGCGGGCCAGCGAGGAGGACATTTTTGTGGCGGTCACATTCGACTGTGACCTGCGGGGATGTCGTCGGGTTCGTGCGCCGGGTGAGGGCGAGAATTGGATTCTGGCATGCGATTTTTCGCGATGAGGCTGAAGGGGAAAACGGGCCGTGGTGTTGATGTTGATCTCAGGGGGTGTGGTGGTGTTGGTGGTACTTGCGGTGTGGGGGTTGCTACGGGGGTGCGGACGACCCACCTCCAGAAGCCGACGTCTGTGGGTGGAGACCCGGGGGACGGCAGATGGCAGGGTACCTGGGCGGGCGGACGTGTGTTGGTGGGAGAGGTAGTATCGCAGTAACGTGGCTCCGAGAGAGTTGGAGTCTATCGAAAATCAAGCCGCCGGCTTGCATGCGCCCCTGATTAGCTTCCCGACGCTCGGGCTGGGTGGGCTTGCTTTCCTCCCTTTGCATGTTGGGACGTCGAGTCGGGGGGACGAGGGTAACGGGCTGGCCCGACCGACGCCTTCTTCCGTTCGTCATTCGGGTTCGGAGGGATGGATACTGGCGCCTATCCGTATGGCACCTTACGATGAGCGCAATTTCCGGCGCATCCGTGGGAAAATCATCCGCAACGCAGGCTTTGTCGGGGGTCAGTGTGCGCGACGCGCAGAGAAGGTACGGCAGGTCTCAGAGCTATTTTCGTCGTGCGACGGACAGGTGGCCCAAGGCAAGGCATGTTCATGCTGCCCGCTTGACTCTCGTTGAAGTTGCACACATCTCACGCGCGAGAAAGGGAGCTGCAGATACGGTTGTTTCAGAACTTTGAATTTCGTTTAAAATTTGAGCCTCTAAACCAGGGAGAGAGGGCCAATATCGCATGTGCCCAATTCTTTTCGTCTCGTTATCAAGCTTTCCGTCGTATGCCCAGAGCCTGCTTCAAGCAAGTAATAAACCTTGTGTGGTTGAATCTTCCTCCTTTGAACAAAAAGGTGGAAAAAGAAGAGAAAATGAAAGAAGAGTTGTGGGAGGTGTGGCTTCCCCGCGCTATACACAACACACAACACAAATCATGGGGAGAAAGGGTATCAACCATCCATCTCTCTGTCTAGTTTCCACAAATGAAGTTTTTTGGTTTCCTGGGGGTCCATGTAATGCAAACCGTCTTGAACCGAATGCCGTCCAAATTCCCTAGTCCAAGGGGGGAGAGAAGAAGTGAATTAATGATGCTGGTGATCTCTTAGGCTGCAACCATCTGAGGGTGGTGCTGCTGCTGATGGTGATACTGCTGTCCTTCGGCAGGCTGTTGTTGCACAGTCAAGTGCTCTTCGGATGTGGCTGCCTCGTTGGTGTTGTTGGCTCCATCAACGTCGCCGCTGCTCTGCGGGTTGCCCTCGAGGTGGGCGAGGAGCTGGCGGAGGTCTCTGCCGTTGCGGTTGAACACAGTCAGACACGACGCGCACATACGCACGTAGCACCACTGGCACTTGAAGCGGTCCTCGGTGTCGGCCTTGCCGCAGGTCTGGCAGCTGAGGGCGTAGTTGCGGTTGCGGGTGCGGTCGACAGTGCGGTGGCGGGCGTAGCAGTCGAGCATGCTCTCCTTGATGGGGCGGGCGCTGTACACGATAGACGGGCTGGGCGGCTCCGGGGTGGTGATGGGGAAGAAGGACGCGCGCGGGTCGGCGGGCATGTCTTGCTGCTGCTTCATCTCGCGGTACTCGACGGGTTCCTGGCCCGGTCGCTGGTCCCGGCGCATGTCGCCACCCTGCGCAGCATGCTCCCGAGCTGCAGGAAGCCATTGACCCCTCTGCTGCTGTTGCGGTGGCTGCTGCTGCTGCTGATTGGACGAGTTGCGAGCAGGGAACTGGCCTTGTTGCGCCTCCGGGCTGATGGGACTGACGGCGAAGTCTCTGGCGATGGTCGGGGGAGCCTCGCTGCTGGTCGTGGGCGGGTCGACGCGCATCTGCGGGAGGCTTTTGGCATTGTGGACGTTGTTGCGGTCCGTCGTGACTGCCTTGCGCGGGATGGGCTGCTGCGGCTGCTGCTGCTGCTGCTTCTGCTCCGCGGCGGCGGGCTCCGGGGACGAGGCTGGGGAGATGGGCGAGACGACGGTGTCGACGACGGGCGTCTTGACGTCTTCCTTTTCGTAGTCGGGCGTCGGCAGCCGCTGGGAGGGCGAGAGCGCGGTGTCGCTGTGTGAGGCTCCGACGTTTGCGCCGTTGGTTTGGTTCTGCCCGCGGACGTGCGAGACCTTCTCGCGCAGGCGCGACGCCTCCTGGCCCATGTCTTCTGTCGGTTCTTGCGTGGAGGGCAGGTTCTGGAGATGGATGGGCCGGATATTCCTGCCGGGGAGCCCGGAAGTAGAGCGAGGGGGGAATTGTTGCTGTTGCTGTTGTTGTTGCTGCGCCGGGGGAGGAGGAGCCGCGGTTGACGATGGTTGCGCGGTGTTTGGTGTAGAAGCAGCAGTCGACCCATGACTTACTGCCAGTTTTAGATCTGGCACCTCTATATTGCGGTCAGATTTTACAGACCTCCTCCTCCAGAGAGGCCTTTGCTGCTGGGACGAGGTGGATGTGAAGCTGGTTGGGCTGTCACCACCGCCAGCCGCTGCCTTTGCCGGCGGAGGAGGGCCCTGCTCGCGGGCATAGGCAGGAGACGGCGGCAGGCCTTTGTTGTGTGTGAGGTTTGGTGCGCCGAGGCGGGAGTAGGAAGCCTCATTGTCGACGGATGACACTGAGGTGGGCGTCAAGACTTTTGACTCTTTTGTTGTCCCCTCATGGTCAGAGGGAAACATCGGGGCCGAGTCTCGCTGGGTTGATGGTGACTTGGCCATGAGGGACTCTCCTGAACTCCTCGAGTACGCCGACAGCAGACTTCCGATAGATCCAGTGGGCGAGTGTTCCTCTGGCTGGGGCTTGGGAGGTGCGACAGGCTTCGTTGCGGCGACTGGGCGGCGGGCTATATGCATCTTGGGGAGCTCTTTCGTCTGAAGGGGAGGGAGAGGCGGAAGAGACTGGTTGAGGGGCTGCGGCGGCGGCAAAGGTTTGTCGGACATGGCGGGCGACTTTGGCGGAGGGGATCGTACTGGGACACGAGGTATCGAGGGAAGTCTCTTTATGACCCTGTCACCGACAGAAGGAGAAGAAGGTTGAACGGGGTCCGGCGGCGGAGGTGGAGGGTTGGGTAAAGCTTTTGAGAAACGAGACCTCCCCTTCCTGGAGGAGGAACGGAGGAAGTCCATATGCATGTTGTACGGGGCTCTTTGGCTATAATTGGGATGATTCCGTTCCCCCTTCCCCTATGCTACCTTGCCTCGCCTCTCTCTAGGCCTCTCTGGCTGTGACTGCGGCGTCGGATTTTGCTCTGCGTCTCCCAGATTCTTACCCAATCGGCTGGGGAGGAGAACCAAGCAGGAGGGGGGAATCAAGGAACCAAATTGACCCAGGCAGGCCGGTGGGACTCGACAACGTGGGACGAAGGAGTGAAGGACGGAAGGTTATTGGAGCGATGGTGGTTCGGAGTTGAGCACGACGTTCAGTGCCGTAACATGGTGATGCTGGAAGGTTACCAGCATCAAGGGTTTTGAAGAGGAGGTGTAAGGTGTAATAGTAAGGAGTACGGAGTAGATGACGAGGATTGCGCGACGAGGACAGCAGCAAGTGCCTGCAGGATATGTGGAGGAGGGGAGATGCTAGAGGAAAAGAAACTCGAATGGCGTTCGCAGTAACAGGAGGTCGATGATTGGAACTTGGGAGTGGGAGTGGGAGAGAGGGGCGCGGATGAGAACAATGACACCAGAGGGCGCCGGGGGAGGGGGGGTGAAGGGGCGTGTAATTCGGGCCTCAAGTAACAAGTTTAATGCTGGCAGCCACGGAGAACCCTGCTTCAAGGATGGGTGGAGGAGGGTCTGGGTCTGAACATTTGACTCTCTTTTTTTTTTTTTTCTCTTCGGTGGTCTCCTTTCCTCGGTTTTCGGACGGAGGACGGACAAGGATGTGATCTGAATGCGCGTAAAAGCTGGATGTAAATGGATGCTAAGGAAGAGACTAAAGTACCTTTTTACACTATTTCGGACCATTTGCACGTCTGCAACGTGTTGGGTGCTGTGGCCGTGTTGGCACTGGAGCTGGTGTTAGCGTGCAGTGCGTGCCTGTCCAGCTCAGTAAGGATGCGGCGGGAGTCCCGTCGTCATTGGCTCCGTCAGATTGGAACCGGCCCCTCCCAGGTGCAGGCTCAGGTGCAGAGCAAGGCCAGCCTCTTTCTGTCTGCAACCTTGAGACTTTCCCATCGGCAGCCCTGCAATTAAGAAAAGAGCTGCACACCGGAAACTCAGGAACAGGTACTCCTGGCCCCGGTGCCGAGGCGGGGCTGGGAGGCTGTTCGGGGCTGGTGCAGCACTTTCAATGCACATACTCACATCGCGCTGTCCACTTGGCACCCTGCTACTGACATCAGCCACCCACTGACAGCACCACCGCCCGCCACGCCACATCGTCGTCCATGAACATCAGACAGCACAGCCAGCCGGCCATCGCATCCCACGGACATCCAGCAACACGTTTCCAGCACCTCCAGCACCTCCAACACCTCATCAAGCCCCGAAGGCTATTCACTCATGCAAGCCATTCCTGAACGCACCATCCCCTCTCGAAGCAGCCAATACGGCGCGCCCTCTCCTGCGCTCCATGATTCACTTTTCATCTCCAATCTTAATCCTGCGTGCTTCGGCCTCTGTCAACTTCAAGACACTAATAAAAACAGAGAGACACGCTGACTGACAGACATGGATGCAGCAGCAAACGGACAGACGGCAGACAGACTGCCACTGGCAGCCTCTCACACACACACTCTCTCTCTCTCTACGCACCCCTCCCGTCCGCCAATACTTGGCAGAGACCAGCGGATGCCAAGTTCCCAGGCTGCTGCCAGCAAGCATTCCCATCTCGATTCTCGATAGGCTGAAACCGCCCGCCGCTAAATAGGAGAAGAGAAAAAAGGGTCTTCCTTGCCAGGCCTGCGTTTAATCACCACGGATCGCATGTCGCAATTGTCAAGAATGCGACTTGTCACGAGTAAACCGTTCGAAATGAACATCTTCAATTTCTCAAGTCCACAATGTGGTCTAGATGACGCCATGCCGCGGCCAGCCAGCTACCACCGCCAGCATCACCAACTGCATCGTCGAGCAAACAATCCGATGCCTGATTTCTCGTCCGAGCATTGAAGTCTGCTGGCCGGCGTTGGATGACAATGGTCGTTTGCAGCCCGCACGCCAATTTTGGAGGCGCCAGCCATCCGCGTCTCTAGCCCGACGCGCCGCGTAATGATATCGACAACAACGTCGTATTCGATTCGGTTGCTGTCTGCATTTGCATCAGAGCAAGCTCTATCGGATGACTACCCTGATGCACTACCACAGAATGCGGCCTGGTGGGCACGAGGACGCAGCCCGAACCACCAAACTACCGTTTGCTGCGTGCGCCCATCAGCCACTGGCCGATTGCAGCCAACATGCGCAAAATGGCCTGGCCCAGCAGCTTTTCCATGTTGGAATGCGGTAACCAAAGAATGGACCGTTGCAGACTTGGACCTCGCCGCGAACCATTGCAGCTGAACACAGAGGCCGCTTTCCGGCCTGCGGGACGTGGCAGAAGCCAAAGCCGCCTGATGTCTTGGTTGAGCCGTGCTAGGGTTCGAATCGCTCGAATCGCTTCATTCGTCGACCCTTTGAGCTCTTGGCCCTCCTCGTCTGCACTTGCATCTGTCTATCCATCAGCCTAGGGTTCGCCGTCTTCTAGACTACGATATTGACAGCTGGTCTGCGCTCGCTCGCCGTCGCCGCGCGCCGTTCCAGCAATTTGAGTCAGCCACGGCGGCGAATAGCGATCTGCGCCAGGGAAGCCAACCAGATTGCAAGACACCGGGAGCCCTACGAATGTCTGGGTCGATGATGAGGGTCGCATCTCACTTCTCGAGCCCCCCGCCAGGCAAATCCCCGTCCGGCATCAGAAAAACGGGGGGCGGTGCCTTGCCTTGCGGCTCGCTAAGCCCAGCAGCAGACGCCTGCCGAAGCCTGCCCTTCACCCCCTGAGCGAGGAATATGTTTGGAAAGTGAGGTGAAATCCAAGTCTGATGAGCATCGGATCGCCCCTGAGAAGCGCACCGGCACCTGGACGGCACGCTCACAGATCAGTCAGCGCCGCAAACCGGGCAAATCAGACGTGTGCCTGGCGAAGCTGAGCACGGCAGGGGGCTCGCTGTTTGCATGAACGGGTTTGAGCCATTTTGACTTCTCGGTCGTCCAAGTCTCACAAGCATGCCCCGGGCGCGTCCTGGTGGATACATCAGACCGAAGGCGCCGTGCTTTCCCTGCGACCTGTGCATTCGCCCACCCCTGAATTCGATGACGACGGAAGGTCGGTTCCCGCCGCCCAGGTACACAAAGTTGGGACGACACGAGAGATGGTAGATGCACTGTCGTTGCACCGATGCCACTGCTCAATGCTGAGAGTTCAGAATAAGGACGAAATGTTCTTCATCGCCAGGCTGCAGACTTCGCGAGAGTTGCACCGCAGACGAGAAGCAATACCGCGGCATCGTGCCGTTACGGGGTTCGTCCTACTAGGTCAGGCGGCCGTTTGATGAAAGGGACCAACGCTTTCATCCTTGGCACGAAAAGAAAAGAAAAAAGACGCAGCCCATTCATCAAACCAACAAAGGCCTTGTTGACAAAGTCTGTCGCGAGGATTCGAATCCCAACGGGTGGCATCGCAGCATGCAGCCCGCGCCTCCGGGCACCCGCATCGCGGAAAATTAATTAACATTGAAATGACTTTTGGACCCCTCGCAAGTGTCGATGGAGCAGCTACGCGACGGTTTGTTTCACACCGGCAGGATTTTTAAGATGAGTTGCGATCCGCCCATTCCATCCGTCTCTTTTACCCGCCCCGATGGCCGTCGTCTGCCTTACCCGCTGACCGATCAATTGATTGACGAGGTGATTGATCATTGAATGCTAGGGGCTGCGGAGAGATTCGGTCGAAGCCCGCGCCTGGCCGAGATCTTTGGAGTTTGGGGGCGTCCTAGTGGACACCAAGGTGATTTTTGATCTCCGGCGCCGTTGGACCGTCGCATTCTCCCACTTTTGCTCTGCCGCGGCCCCTCAATTCATGGTTTTCGTGGTTAGCTTCTTTTACCGGTTGCCGCGGACAGAGTTTTTGCTATGCGCTTAGTTGTTGTACAGAGTTCTGCAGAAAGTTCTGCAGGCCGCATCAGCGCCATAACTGAGGCTATCGCGGCATCTGATACTCGTACAAGCTTCATCCGATTTTCCCAGTCTCAGCGTGGACGGACCGGGAGAGAGATGAGATGAGGCACCATATCTCGTTGAGCCGCGGTGTCAGAGAGCACGTGTGTTATCGCATGCATGGCGTCATACCCGATAGGGGACGGGCCCCGGCTTATCGCGGGCAAGTCTCCGATGAGCGGCCCCGACGAGGGGAGAGCGATACCGTATGCAGCAGCCGGATTAGCAATCGTTGGTGAGGAGACGACGGGGGGAGGTGAGAGATAGCGGTGCAGAATTGAAAAGAGCGGAGACTAACGATTGTTGCTTTAGTCGAAAACCAGAGGAGGCGGAAGAAGAAGAAGAAAAGTAGTCTTCAATTCTTTTTTTCCAGCATTAATTGACTTCGGCCCCATCTTACAATGACCGGCTTACCGAACGGCGCCTCCGCCCCGACGGAGACGTCTCCCCTACTGCGCAGCACCGATCCGGAGCCCGTCAACGGTAACGGCAACGGCGCCATTCAAAATGGCGGCGCCGGCCGCGACGACAAGCGGGACGGCAACCCCGAGATGGCCAAAAAGATGCACCTCCTGCTCCCGGCCATCGGCATCGGCGTAGGTCTCACTTCTGCCCCGCAGTCTCCCGCGCGACTCGCATGCTCACCCGGGATATACCCAGATCTACCTCTGCGCCGTGGACCAGCTCCTCACCGTGGCCACATACGCCAAGATAGGCAGTGAACTACACGCCTTGAACAACACGAGCTGGCTTGCGACAGCGTACGTACTTACTCGCCCTCTCTGAAGTGCCTTCTGTTGACCGCATCCCAGCTACTTCATCACCCTGACCTCCTTCCAGCCCCTCTACGGCAAACTCTCAGACATATTCGGCCGCAAGGAGTGCCTCCTCTTCGCGTACACCGTTTTCGCCCTCGGCTCGCTGGGCTGCGGCCTCGCGCGGACCTTCACGCAGCTGTGCCTCGCGCGCGCCGTCGCCGGCATCGGCGGCGGCGGCATGAACAGTGTCGTCAGCATTCTCATGTCCGACATCGTGCCCCTGCGCGACCGCGGCGTCTGGCAGGGCTACATCAACATCATCTTCGCCGCCGGCACCTCCACCGGCGCCCCGCTCGGCGGCCTGCTCGCCGACTCCGTTGGCTGGCGCTGGTCCTTCATCGGCCAGGTCCCGCTGTGCGTCGCGGCCTTCGCGGCCGTGTATTTTGTCCTCGACCTGCCGCAGACCAGCCACGACCACTGGCGCGAGAAGGTGCGGCGCATCGATTTCCTCGGTGCCGGGTGTCTGGTCGCCGCCGTCGTGGCGCTGCTGGTCGGGCTCGATGCGGGCTCGAACCGCGGGTGGGCGAACGGCATGACGCTCGCGGGGCTGGCAGCCGCTCCTGTGCTGTTCGGCGTGTTCGTCTTCGTCGAGATGCGCGTCGCGAGCCACCCGTTCGCGCCGGGGCACATCATCTTCGACCGCAGCCTGTTCGCGGGGTACCTGACCAACTTCTTCGGCGTGGCGGGGCACATTGCGAGCATCTTCTTCCTGCCGCTCTTCTTCCAGGCCGTGCAGGGCGCGTCGGCGACGCAGGCGGGCGCGTTCCTGGTGCCCGCGATGATCTTCTCGGTGGTTGCGTCGGTGGGCAGCGGCGTGATTATGAAGCGGACGGGGCGGTACTACAAGCTGACGGTGGCGGCGTTCGGGCTGATGTGCGCGGCGCTGGTGCCGGTCGTGGCGGCGCTGTGGGTACGGTCAACGGCGGGGGTTGTGGGCGGGATGGCGGTGCTGGCGCTGGGCGGCGGGGCGGGGATCACGACGACGCTGGTGGCGCTGCTGTCGAACGCGGCGGTGGAGGACACGGCGGTCGTGGTGGCGTGTTCGTATTTGTTCAGGAGTTTGGGCAGCAGCATCGGCATCAGCGTGTGCTCGGCGGTGCTGCAGCAGGTGTTGCGGACGCAGCTGAGGGTCAGGCTGAGCGACGGGGAGGAGGCGCGGAGGATCGAAGAGAGGGTGCGGGAGAGTTTGGACTATATCCGCGAGCTGGAGCCGGGCGTGCAGGGGGAGGTGAGGGGGAGTTACCAGGTGGCTACGTTGGGGGCCATGGTGCCCATGACGGCGTTCTTGGTGCTTGCTTTTGCGTCGACGTTCTTTATTCGGGAGCGGGCTTTGAGTAAGTGAGGGGGTGTGTCGGTGGTGGTGGTGGTTGTTGTCGAGACGGAAAGGGGTGGGGGAGCTACCTCGGCAAGGTATGGCGTCTAGTTTACACTCATGACAGGCCTCTTGCATCCATTCGATCACAGCGGGAAGCTCTCAGCTCTTGTTGCACTGTAGGAGGCTGGTAATACGTCTCTAGGTGCCCATATAAAATGGAGGGATGATTTTCAGATTCTTGCTTCCGGCCAAGGATTTTGACTACTTCATACACCTGTCGGTTGCGAAGGCGAACAGCCCAATGTAGCGGACTCAAGCCAGAAGAGACCTCTTCGTGCTGTATTTCAACATCCCGAGATAGCAAAATGTAAGCGGTATCACCTGACGGAATAACTGCTGGACGGAGACGATGACAACCAATGCATGTAGGATCGAGATGCACTGCGTCAAGATCTTGGTAGTGAACAACTATTCCTGTCTAGCAATGCTTTCAAGTCTCTACAATGACATGCTTGCCCGATTGTGCTCGGGCGTGCCTGAAGGAACTCGCCAGGGGCCTTTGCATTTATACTGAGCTTGGACGGCAATATCTCGGCCTCGGTGTGTCTGCGAATACCATGGTACGTAGGCTGTCAGCTCACTCGTCGGACCAACATCTATGAATGAACTTCACGCGTAGATAGCGTGGGGCCACGTAGCCCACGGCGGCTTCGTAGACTTATATAAGACGACGACGGCGACTAGCCTTTTGCTGGCTCACAATCAAATCGCTCTGCAGAGAGCAAGTTTAATTACATCCACGGTGTTGAGCATCACCCTCGTCAGGCTTTGGCTCAGTCAGAGACCTGATGAGTACTTTGCGGTGTTTTGTCTTCCTGATATAGAATTCTTTCCTGAATACTTGCCAGATAAACGATGGAAGAAGCTGGTGGAGAACAGAAGAGGATCCGATGAACACAGGAAGTTGGTGCTGAGATTTCATGGTTAGGGAGTGTGTATCCGTCCACCATTTGTATGCAGAATAAAGTAAAGTCGACCTTCGGCTCTTGGATTTTCTCTCGTTCAGCCACTCCTGAATGCTCAAGCTCTATTGTGTTATATTCATTGTATATACAAGCTGCGGTATTGTTTCTTCCAGCCAATGCTGTCGCTATTTCAAACAGAGCGGGCTTTCCCTTGAAAACCAGTAATATTTCTTCAATTACCTGCCGTTGGATCCAATACCATTTCTGCAAGACGGGGTAAGCTATCGCTCAGCTTACTGTAGATGACCATGATATGCTTCGCGAGCTCAGTTGCCAAAGACAGCATCGGCGCTAAAATTGCATTCTTCTTAGCAGTTTCGTCTCTTTCCCAGATCCCATTTGAACGATTCGGCGATGATAAGAAAAAGACGCGGCTGGCAAGTCTTTGCTCATCTCTCATCTCCGGAGGAACAAGGCAAAGCATGGAGTCCGGCCAGCCGACAGGCAGTGTTGCCATTGTTCCCGATTCGAGATGAGCATGGTGATTTGATACTTGACCAGCTCAACGCTTGACTTTTGCTGAAATTGACGAGTAAGATACCACGGTGGATGGTTCAGTGAAATAGCCAAGATTCCATTCTTCTTTCTACAACAACATCAACAACGTTCTCGTCGTCTCTCGATTCTCGGACCAGTGAAGTTCGATCTTCCCATTCGAACATAGTGGCTCCTGATGCATCAAGATCCGAAATGATGCATGACGTGCGTCAGTCAGATCAGTGAAGAAGCCTCTCGCTGCACCCGTTCCATAACCAATGCCTGGCAAGGGAATGTTGCATTAATGATGACTTCTTGCGATGGATATCATGTCGAGGCTGAACTAGATCACTCAGAGTCAGAGCCATAGTCCACCAAGGAAGGGGTAGCGGGCGGAGCTTTTGTTTGTGCTTGCTTCAGCCCTGGCAGCAACTTGGTCTGCTTCGGGTGGCGTTTCGTTTTGACGAGGGCGTTAATATCGGTGTGTCTTGCGGTGTGTGATTCCCTCTGACCCGATACGTCAGCTTCGGCCCTCGCATGCAAAGAGAAAGCGCGCTTCGTGTGCTCTTCATCCTTCTGGTCTTCCGCCGTCATAGCAGCGTTCTTATCCACCATGATTCCATCTCGAAGAAGCCTTTCCAGTCGGGCGTTTCGGGCGCGGACTTCGTCCAGCGCATCGGCGACAGCCATGTGTGTCTCTGTCGCGAGGGCTTCTTTTTCGATATCCTCCATCGTGGTCTTTTCGGTGTTCTCGCGTTTCTCGTGCTCTCTCTCTAGTCGATCTAGACGCTCGTCCGCCGTCTCGTTGGCTATGTCGTCACCTATGCGCCATGGTTCCGTGATACGCTTTGCGCCAGTCTCACAGACATAGTCGCTTGCTTGAGGAACGGTTCTAAGAGTGATTTCTCGCGACTGATGAGGCTGGTTAGCAATTTAGGCCTTGAAATTCAAGTCAGAGGATGGTGGAAGGGGAGGCTTACACATCGCGTGCAACGAAAGAAGAGGCGGTAGATCTGGATAGCACCCAGGTAATTCTCGTCTGGCGTCAATTTCCGGGCATTGAACTTGCGCCCCTTTCCGATATACTCGCCGCATGAGGTGCATTGCATCGAAAAGGGTGCCGCCCATCGGACTTGTTGCCCCTCCGGTGCAGCTGCCCTCCCCCTGTGTCGTACCGGTAGCCGCTGGCTAGGGTCGAAGGTGGGCGGATAGTACTTGGAAACAACTTTGCGTTCTGACATCTTCGGAGCAGATAGATTTGTGATGAAGTTGATAGTTGTGAGAGTGATGTTGTGAGCTGTTAGATTGAAGATGGTATCGGGGTGTTTGGGAACAACCCAGTTTCTAGGCGAAAAAGAAGTTGAGGAATAGTTTTCCTGCATGTGTACTTGATTATTTCTGCAGTATTCAACATGCTTCTATTATAAATATGAATTTATCTGACAAGGTGCTCAGACGGAGACGTGGATAATATAGATACCTTGAGATCCTTCGATGGATACACCGAAATGGTGTTCAACATCTCATATAACATTACCTAGGTCGCGCCTATCTCACAGGGTACTCAATGCATGCATTTTCGAAGTTTTCTCGGTACTCGCAAAGGTCTTATCAAACCTCGGCATACAAAACTTGGATGAGCACTCAGAGAGAGAAAACAGTAGCGTCTGCAGAGAATGTGAAATCAATAAAAGCGTCCTTTGAGGGCTTCTCTTTTCTCGATTCAAGACAAACAATTCATTTAGCAGATAGATCTTGCTGTTAAAAGTGAGCCAATCAGAATTTTGCACATCGGAGCACCCCTTTTGTCATGCATGATCGGTGTTAACATCTGAGCCTTCTGTTCGTCTTGGTTGTCATAATTCGCAGCATATTGTGAGTATTCAGTGATGTTTTCGATTCAGTGGGTGAAAACCGAGTACAATTTGTGTTCGTGCGGCATTTGTCAAGGCTACTTACAACGCAAGGGGAATGCTCGCCCTATTTGAGGCTTGATGTGTTATGGTTCAGACTTGCGAGACCTATGCCACAGCTACAATTATAGATTGACACCAGAACCTGTCTGTTTGCGGCTTGACCCTTCATCGTTACTACATTAGCTGTGTTCCGAAGTCATTTCAGGATTTGGAGACGACGATGCTATTCCGACTAGGCAGCATATACCCAAATCTCCCCGTGTGGTCGAAACTAGACTAGTTCCCGGTGCATCTCATATCAAAACTGGTGAATGAGAGCTGTGCCATTGATACTTAAGGATCCGAAGTCTGACATCTGAAGTCTCGGGCCTATTGTTTCCCTGGTGGCGCGTTTCATAGAGACGATGAAAGACTGGGATTCTCGTCTAAAAAGCCCGTAATAGCTATGAAACTCGCTAAAGCAAAGGTTTAAAACCCCCATCGTCTTTCTTATATCTTCCAAGCGACGATAGACATAAATCGATGGGTTGCTTGGGGAACATTCTGATAGGAGTACATGGCTTCGCCTCCCCTAACCGTCAAGGACGTTCGGGATATGCGACTCTATCACGCGGCCAAAACTTGTGCCCAATGAGGATACAGGTGTATAAAGTACCAACCATGACCGACGACGAGCGGAGAATGTTCCCATCTTGCCAGACATCGCTCAGTTGGAATGCGCCGAATTGAGGTCCTCGTAGATCCCCTGATCATTCGCGAGACATCTGAACTACTATCAACAAATTTTTCGAATGCCTTGTAGCATATAACGGGTTCGAGGACCCAAGCTAATATGTAGTGAGCGCAGCACACAAACGGGGGGCATTGGCGTTGCCAAAGCCTTCGGATTCTGAGCAAAAAGCGTAGGGCGTTAGTACATATAACCGTCTCAGTATGATCAGCCACCGAGGGTCAAGAAAATCGCTCTTTTGACATTCAGTTGTACACCAGAATCGGAGGGAAATGGTACGCGTTGTCTCTTGGGCATGGGCAGTCTGAGGTCCATGTGATCAATCGGCGGCTCGTCCATCTCAATGTAATTTCATTTGATTGCTAGGTAATCAATGAGAAGCATTGCGAATAACTAGATAATACTCTGGCAGTGGTGACAGTTGAAGGTGGATGAAGACAACGAACTTCGAACACACGTCAAGCGAAGTGTAGACGGGCACGCTGTAAACATGCTCCATTTTGTCACATTCTCTCCCAGCTCATTCGGTGACATTTGTTGGGAAATTCCGGTGGTGTACAGAATATTTGAGTTGATTCGAAAAACTTCTAGGCGGCATAAATACACTTTGTCGGTACTTCTGAAGGGCAGCTCTCGCCGTTCATCCAGATTCTTCAGACTTCATGTCAAAACCGGAAGTTATCTCTGTGCCTGCATACAGCAAACCCAGAGCCATCGTTTCCTTTCACCCACCCGCGCCTTCCATTCCAACCTCCAGTGTCGCTCCCTCCTTCCTCACATTCACCCCATCGCCACCACCACCTTCCGTTTCCCGATCCTCAAGGCGCCTTCCTGCCTGCCTGCCTACTTATCCAACTTCCGTCCCATCCCCCTCAACCAGTTCAACAGCGACGGCGTGACCCAGTTGGTAATCACCTAGCTCAAACAAATTCCTCGGAAGGATTCCTGGTTATCCTAGAGGGGCGCTAAGTTCGAATCCCGTCACGCGGTATTCTTACAGGAAAGGGCCTAGAGGTGGGGACGCGTGTCCCATCTTTTGCTTTTTGTGACTCTAATTTTGATGTGATATGTGTATTTTTTTAAGTTCTATCATGATGTGAGCGTGTGGTGTTGTTGTCCTGTCGTTTTTGTCATTGATGCTTCGACGATCTCACCCAAAGCATACCAGGCCTGCATCACGGAAACCATCAACCCACACATACACCATCCGGCCCGCAAGATTTGCCTACCCGCATCGGAAGATCCATCGTTCTTCGCCGATCACCCGTGAGACAGATGATGGGGCATGCAAGCTCGGCAAAACCGGACGTCGTCCCTCTCTCCCTCAGCCCTACGGAGATCGTCTTCCGCGGGGTGAGGTAGGTGGCGCTAGCCCGCCAAGGTACTCGCACAGAAGCAAGGCAACCATTGCGTCTCGCCACCTGCCTCGATGGCAGTGATGAAGAAGACTAGTCATGCACATACTCTACGAGCCCCTGAAGTTATTGGATGGCCGGCCACGTTGAACAGCAACGGCCGCCACTTGTGCTTGTGGGAAATGTTTTGGTTTTTGGAATTTTATCTCTCTAGAATCCTTTTCCTAAGCGTCAACCGAGAGTCCATCAGACACTGGGTAGTAAAAAACGGTGATCCCCTCATTCCTTTCATATCATGAAATCATAATTGGTTTTTTTTGGGTTTGACATTGGTAGGGGATGGGATATCAAAGCTGGGAGGGACTTTTTGCGACCAAAAGGCGAAGATCAAAGGAGGGGGAACAGCGAAGAACAAGAGCCCAAAGATGGAAAACATATGGCAAAGACGAATAAAGATCCAGCTTTCGCTCCCAATGGTGATATCCGCGACAAGCGCCCGCGACCCCGCGGACACAGACTGTTGTTTGGGTTTGTCTTCTTTTGCTTTTTTGGTCCTTCGCAATCGCATCCCTTCTAGAGATAGGCCGTTTCGTCTGGGTCCCTTTGTCTATCTGAAATGAGCAATGTGGTTTTTAAATACGCGCAAATCGGATTCCTCCCACGTATCTCCAGGTTTTCCCTCTTCTAACCCCCCGCGACCTCCCGCTTTCGACCAATTCACAGGAAGGAGCGGCGGGGGAAGCTGACGCCCTCGACGGCCGGGTTGTCGACGAACCAGCTGACGCGGTCGCCGGCGCCCTCGTTGACCAGGGCGCAGGGAAGGCCGTCGCCGTGCTCAAAGATCCTCTTCATGATGTCCTTCTTGCCGCCGCCGGTGGCGACGAAGGCGATCTTGACGCCGTGGTTGACGACGGGGAGGGTGAGGGTGATGCGCTTCGGCGGGGGCTTGGGGGAGTCCTCGATGGGGGCGACCCAGGCGGTGGTCTCGCGCAGGAGCTCGTGGCCGGGGAACAGGCTGCAGGTGTGGCCGTCGGGACCGGAGCCGAGCAGCAGGAGATCAAAGATGGGCAGGCGCACGCTATCGCGGCTGGCGAAGCTGGTGACGAGGGTCTTTTCGTACTGGTCGGCCAGCTCCTGGGTGTCGTTGAGGTAGGTGGTGTCGATGGGGTGGACGGTCGGGGCGCCGAGCTCCTCGGGGATCTTCTCGAGCAGCTCCTTCTTCAGGAGGGCGTAGTTGGAGTCTTCGTGGTCGAGGGGCACGGCGCGCTCGTCGGCGAAGAAGATCTCCCACTTGCCAAAGTGGACGGTATCTTCGGGGCCAGAGGACGGGGTGAGCAGGGCTTGCGCCAGCGTCTTGGGGAGGGAACCGCCAGAAACGGCGACCTTGAAGGCACCGTGACGACTCAGGCCGGCATTCTGTGCTTGGATGACGTAGGCTCGCAGAGCGGGCGCGAGCTCGCTGACCGATGGGTAGGCGTAGAGGTTTGGCTGCTTGTTGCTCATGGTGGGGTAATTTTTTGGCAGGTGAAAGGCGGGGGCGGAGGTGTTGTCGGAAGCGAGGTTGTGAAGAATGGAAGAGGGGAGGTAGGCGGAAGCGAGCAGGCTGCTTAGGGTGCAGAATCTGAGAAAAATGTTTGCTGGTGGGTTGGCCTGAAATTTGGCGAAGCTGTGTGGCTCGGGGTGTGCAGTAAGGTATCTGCAGGATGCTGTTGATTCGGCAGGCGTGGACGGATGGTGTTGGTGGTGGTGGTGCGCCTTTGGTTTATCTGGAGGTTCAGACGAAAAAGGCTCGAGTCGGAACGACGACACACGGGAGACAGGTAATAAGGCCCGAGGAGTGGCAGGGTCGGTCTAAGAATCTAGCGGGCGACGGATGGGTCATGGATGTTTCCAGATGCCTGGAACACACACACACGGTGACACACACTGACCTTTGGAGAGGGCAGAAAATAAAGACAAAAAAACGATAGCGGGGCTAGAATGTTTTGTCTTTTTCGGGGCAGGATGTCCAGAATGCAGGCAGGCAGTTGCGAAATGAAATTGTAAAGCACAGCACAGACGTGGGTGCAGGGGCGGCAGGGCAGCTCAGGCTGTGGCTTGACTGTTGGTGCTTTGGTTGGATCTCGGCGTGTTTTGTCGCTCAAATCCAGCCGTTTTGTTTGATGGTGGTCAGTGTGAGCCGTTTAGTGGTGGTTGGATGTGCAACAGCAATACCGGGGCGCGGGCGGAAGTGTGCGGGC